AGTATTAATATACTTTGAAAAAATCAAAAACACATTGTTGACACAACATCTCTAACTTTTTACTGAAAGAACGATTTCGCCAAATGAAACTGCTAACAATATAATATTATATTGCATTTTCAACTTAAATTATTCTTTACATTTAATTTTTGACAACTTTTTTCTTTCTAAATAATACCTTTAAAAAAAATCATTTAACTGAAAACCAATATATATATATTTTTTTTTTTTATCTACTTAAAATCTTCAAAAAGCTATCATAGGGATTGAGGATCTCGATGAAAATCAAACTTAATATTAATAATATACTGAAAAATGTAATTGTTTCAATATTTGTAACAATAAATTTGTTCAATAGTGTACACAACATACATGAACGAACCGTGTATACTGATACAATCGCAAAATAGATATAGATCATGAGTGCAAATATTATATAGCTACAAAATATATTTAACAAACTATTGCCTAAATATGAATTATAATAAATTATACTCAACAGTAAATTGTTATTTGTTACTATACAACTAAACTTTTATCGCGTGTTATCCTGCAAAAAAAAAAAAAATACATGAAAATATTATTTTCTGATTAAACCATGTGGTCAAAGATATTATATTGTTAAAAAATATAGTTATCAAGTTAATATATTTTTAATAAAAATAGTTTAATATAAAAAATATTCGCTTTACAAATAAAGTTTTGTATAAAAAAAAAAATGAAAAAATATTAGTTTATTTTATCAAATATTTTCTTGCTTTTAATTCTATAAAGGATTTAATTATAAATGACAAAATAATTTATGATGTGCATTTTAAAACCATCGTATTCAAATCAAAAATATAAAATATACAATTATATTATTTTCGGGTACACAATAATGAACACTTCCTGGAAAATTTAATATTGTATGTCATAATATTTCGATTAACGATCTACGGTCAAAACCCGTATACATAAATCATACGAAGATCCGGTAGATCATTCTATAAACTTTCGAAGACACTTTTTATCGATGTGACTATATTAATAATAGCGCTGTACCGGTGTCTATGGTAGTATATTATATCAATATAAAATCTAATTATCGGAAAAACCACGTTATTAAAAATCAAAGGCCTCTTCCGAACGAACTAACGAACAGATATTCAATGCTTAAATAACCTATTGTGAACAAAAAATAATAATTGTATTATTTAAATATTCTCTAAACGCATGTATAATTACCGATGATCAATAACTTCTCAATCTAAATTAGCGATACTCCAAAAGAGCACTGGATATCATCAGCATAATACCGTTCGGCTTGTTACATGATTAAAACACCGAACGGTACAGAAATTCAATGGAATCCATGGTTTACGATTATAAAACGTTGCCGATGAAGTTTTCGTCTTAAAATCGATAACAAGTCAATTAACTCTGATATTGACCCAGAGTGGTTCCAACAAGTATTAACGTTGCGGAAGGTTAATTCATGCGGTAAGCACGCGTCACGTTTACACACTAGCTGCAAACAGAGATAATAATATGACGCCGTGTGACGCTCGAGAACGTCACATCGATTTGTCATGATAATAATAGTGATATAATTATATATATATATATATATATATATATAGTAATCTGTCGTGAGCACGAAACATCGTAGCAAATTAACTTTTCGTGTGATTAGCCGCAACGCGCTGCGAGTTCGCTGTAGATAGTCGAGTTAATTGACGTATTTTAAAATTCGACAATCGGGTCATTGTCCGTGATTTGACGACGAGAATTTTTTTTTTAATCTGACAACAAGGGGTACTTATTTACAGTTATGTGATTTATGTGTACCAAACAATCGATATCATTTAAACTATACGTAAATAGGTATTGAAAATAAATGAATCAACGCTTAAATTAAACATTTCATATTCTACAATATTATACAGATAATTTTTTTGATTAGTCTTATACATAATAATAGCATAAATAAAGAACTATACCTACTAAAACATAAAATATCATAACTAGATAACCCAACGGGATTTTAAATATTACTCTTCGTGTAATTAGATGAAATAAAGAACATTAAAACACATTATTATACTATACAAAAATATAAAAATAATATCGTAGTTCTAGAAGGCCAATAAAACCTCCTTGTTTGTCTATTTAGTTTACATAACATAGATGAGGGTTTACGTGTATATTTAGTGTTTATGCAACTTGCGACAACAATGTATAGTGTTTTCATTTGATATACGTTTTTTTTTTTCGGAATGCTGGTTTAAATTCTTTAGCTCATGTTTATTTTGCCAACGCAGGCTACAATGATAAATAAAAAAAAAAAAAATAATAAAACGTGCATAAGAAAATAATTATCACTTAATAAGACATTAATTAACAAAGAATAATTATTATTTCAAGAACAATATTCAAATATGTAAAATTTGTATTTTTCCGTTATTTAAATATTTAACTTTTAGTGTTATATGTCCATATTATTCATACTTTAGTTGTTGATTGTTTTGACTTAAAATACAATAAACAAAACTATATATTATAAAATACACGATGATTAACTAGAATGATTAAAATTATCAAATAATATTTTGAAGTTAAATCAAAGGTGGAGTTTCAATAAAAAAAAATGTAAGTTTTGAAGTCCATTATTTTTTTAGATTATCTCATAAGTTATTGATACAAAATGAGTAACATTGGGGCCTCCACTTACCATCATCAAATTATTAAATATTTTTAATATTAATTCTACACTTTATAATATTATGTAATATTAATTATTATTAATGTATTAATATGAATTAATAAATAATAAATAAAACTAGATTGCTAATTTTTAAACTAGAGATACTAAGCATTCCCAAAATGCCCCTTCTTCGCAGCAGAAAAAAAAATACGTAATATCATAATTTATGTATTGATTAGTAATAAAATAATATGATTTTGTGATGTATTAATATGTTTATCCTACTAAACAAAGTGATTCAAAATTAATATCATAACCATTTTATCATATAAATATTCAAAATAGACATGTATGACACAAATGATTTTTTATTACTTAATGTCTAAAATTATTTATCAATTATATATTTTTTATATTATTTTAGGAAATATTTTGAAATTAATGCGAAAGTCTATGCTTCAGAGCGATTTAAAGATTTTAGAAAGTGCATTTTAACTGTATGCCGTCAAGTAGTGGTGTACGCCCATGTGGCATAAATAACGTTCATAAATATAATATTAATTTCAAGAGTTCCCCTGATAGTTCGCACCAATGGCTCACAAAATTTAGTCAAACCGGAATCATGTAAGTCGTACACTTAAAAAATTTCTTGCCCACCTCATGGCTGTTCCACCGTCTTTTAACTAAACTCAAATTATTTTCTTTAGCTGACCGTCGTAACTTTTATAACATTGCCTTTCCCACAAATTTCATCTCTTTCAATATTGATTCTCCCACTTCTCTTTATTTTAAAGTGCTTTTACATCTTACTTTCTATAAGACTTCTTTTTATATTCATCCTTGCTTAACCAATTATATATCCAATTAATCTATTAATTGGATAATAAAATTAGCAAATAAATACCTTTTTTTCTTTAATATATAAACCCAATTTTAAGATAATTCTTAAACTTTTGTTTGTTGTTTTATTATATTTTTTATCCTATATATTATATTAGGTCATATATATTATGTACCATATTTACTTGAATGCAAGTCAGTTATATATATTATATAAATAAAATATACCTATATACCCGCAGCACTACATATTGTAGTAGGTATCGGTAATAATATTATAAGCATCGTTTCGACTAGGCATGCATAATAACCATAATAATTAGTACTAGGTTTGCTTGCGGAATGCAGGCTGGATAGTTGTAGTCGAAACCGTTCCAAAACAAATTCAGTCTCATCGTAAATACAACGCGAACTGTGATGCGTGTAACAAAAAACATTTCGTTTACTAAATGCACCGGAGCACGAGGTGTGTTTACGCGTTGCGTGACCTCAACGTCCTTAACAATGAGCCATCGCGACTGTCTAGGAAAAAAAAAGTAGGTCTGTCGGTAGCCGTCGTACACGGGTACACGGAACCACTTTTCTCATAAAGTGGGGCATAACACACAAACGACGACCGTCGACCGGTCACCGTTGTATATATTATTATTACCGAGGCTCTCGTGGCGTACGAGTGTGACGTTACATTTCGATACATTTCCGAAACACCGCAAACGCCCGCCCGATAACAAATATAATATAATTGTATCACCAGCAATGGTAAAATAATAAAAAATATCTAGATACAGTTATATCATCCTCGGTCCGCGTTTTCCTCAGCTTGGAATATCGTCTATCGGCACGCATGTTAGATTTGCTTTTTCGTCCTGCTTATATTATTATATTATGCGTACCTATTTATACCGTCTACAATATTTCACGTCGAACCGACCACGTGCTTACTAGGTAGGTATATAACCATAAGTATACTGTATACAGTACGTATATACGACGATGCGCCTGAAACGTTAAGAGTGAAATTGCGACCGATTGTTTATTAAACTTGTTATTTTCTCATTTACATCGAGTAAGTGATTTAAATATCAAAAGTTCAAATTACGGTTATTATTACGTTTTTTTCTTGTCATAACAGTTTTTAATAGTATATAGGTCCAATATTGGCGAAACTAAACCAGAAAAACCTAATTCCGAGTGGTTAACGCCTGTACAGTTAAATATCGTTATTTTTTTCGTCCCCAGAGTGCGTCTAATCCGGTTGACAAATAACAGTATGCGTTCATAATTTTATGTGTACATGATGAAAAAAATTCCAGACCGATTTTACGTTATTACAGAACACGTGTAATTCAAAACTGTTCCCAACAATTTATTCCAGATCACCGTGTCATATTATATATTATATTATTATTATCATTATAATGTTCGTTGCGTATGTACGATTGTTTAGGGAGAAGGGGTCGGATATTGTGTGTCAGTATACATAACGGTTCGTACCATCTCCAATAACCAAGTTCGAGTGTGAGCACTGAACACCGTCAGAGTCTGATAACGTGTAAAAAAGCATACACCTCTTCTGACCAATTCACCCATCGTTGCCGCTCGGTTAGCACAATATCGATCAATTTACCTTTGCACAGTAGTCTCTCGATTATAGTGAATAGGACTGTGTTCGACAATTTTGTTTTTTTCCGTGAGTGATGATTAATTTTAATTTTTAATACGCGAATTTAAGTTTCATATTTCTGAAGAACGTCAAGACAGTCCCGGACAATTTCGGTATAGAGTAAGAGTGATTTTATTATATTTATTATACGATATGTTTGGTTAAGTGTTGTTGAAAGCAGGGTTTCCGGTGTTTTATTAATACTCAAATAATAATAAAAAAATGTATTTAGCAACTAAAGGATTAAATCAAAAGTTGATATTTTATATTACTTTTTTACGAATCTCAATATGTTTCAACTTATCACAATTTATTCGATAATTTAAATATTCAGTGGTATATTTTTAAATGAATATAATATTTAAAAATTAACGTTCATTTTTATTAATTAATTTAGTATTGTATAATTTATGTTAATGTGGTGTACATTATTAACACAATACATAAAAACATGTTTTAAAATTATTGACCTTTAATAAATTTAAACAAATAAAATATTACTTAAGAATAATTACAAATGTATTTCATAATAATTTTAATATATTTTATCAAATAAACTTCCTTTTTAGTTATTTTTTTTTTTTAACTTGTTTTTAGATTTAAGTTTTAGTAATATAAAACCATTTTGATGACATCAGTAAAAAAAATCATTAGATAAATATTTATTTAAACACCATAAATATTATGAAATATAAATAAATCATTAAATATATAAAAATGTATAACAGTCATTTATGTATAGATTTATAATCTATAGATCAAATACTCATCGAAATTTAATTATTTTTTTATTATACAGTCATATGAGTAAATTTAATCTGTAATCTGATAGGTTACTTTAAATAAAGTGACTATGAATCACGTGATATATTATTATGTTTTTATTCAGGATGTATTAATATTCTAAACCTAGTAGGTTCTTTGAACTGCAATCCATTCGGATAAACTATATGACTCATCGAGGACAAGAGAAAATATTTGAAACGGTAAAATCATCTAAACGAAATATAGCTATAAAACTTTCTCGAGTGGAAAATCTAAAAAATACAGTAGTTTAACTTCAAGAAAAAATGACATACGGCTGTTTAACTTACCAAATTATATTTATTTTTGTTCGTGTTATTGATGACACGCAATAATTGTCTTTTGCTATAGATAAGAATTACGATAGGCTTTACTCATGAATTGCTATTTGTAAGAGAGGGAAGGAGACAGTTTGATAAGTATCTAAGAGTAATCCGTTGCTATTAGTCGCAACCTCAACTTAAAATGAATCGATTAAACCTATGGGATAGAGTTTCTTAGCTACTATCTGTTTTAGCTATCTGTTTTGTTGTAAAAGATATAGTAGCAAATAACTTTTGCTTTTAATGTCAGTCCATTCGTTTTGGCTCCGCCTTTCGCTCAAAGAGATCTTCACATTCTTCACGTATACAGACGAAAAGTTATTGAGTTATTCATATCCAGATGGTAGATGAGTATACATATATAAAGGACAATTAATTAAGTGCACACCTTCATTAAAACACTTACATGTATGCTTTCTACATTTGTATATTTATTTCATTATAATTACCTTTATTTTATGCGTAACTGATTTTTGTTGAGAGAATTGTTCTGATTTTTTTTAATATGACCGGGGTATAATAAGAATACTATTGTTGAACCGTATATTTTCTACTATTACAATACTATGTGTAGGTAGGTATGTAAGTTATACAAGACGTGTTATGAACAAAGTTTGTCAATTCTGTTGAAATATGAACATACAACACCGCCACTGCCATTTTGAAGTTTTATTATAAATAAGCAGCAATGCTCATAATATTGTTGTGGTGTCGGCATGAGAGAATGTACTCATATTAAAACACAGATATACGTACCAGCAGCATATACGATTTACTAGTATCTAAAATACAATATTATTTTTAAAATGATTTCTTTTTAGTAAGAACATAAATTTCCAGGACACTTTTCTAGTTGTCCAGTCGTCTATATAGATAAAATAAATAAATAAATTCGATATAAGTATTTGAAAGCTGTAAAAATTACTTTTACAATTTTTATTACACAATTTTATTTTTAGCAATAAATTAAATATCAAATACAGTCTAAAGAATTACCTTAAAACCTAAAAGAATTTAATAATGATTATAAATTCTTACTCATCTAATAAAATTACAATAATTGTGTTATTATGCATGTAATATTATCATAAAAGCCTGTATAAATACACCCATCATTTAATATAATAGAATATGTAAACTTATAAAGCATGTGTAAAAAATCCTGAATGAGTAATTATCACCATATAATAAAGTAATGAATTTTTAAATTCAATAATTATTCTCTTCATTTATACACTCAACAATAGCATTAAAAGTTTTAATAAAAGAATTTTCTTACTTCATGTTAACTTTCATTACACTTAAACTAATTTTTGAAGTTGAATTTAATTCTATACCCAAAGAGAACTTTTATTAAATATTAAAATTAACATATTTATAAATGCAACTTTATTCTGACGAAGCCCTTTTGTTATTGTATTAGTTTTATTCTATGTAAACTGCATATTATTCTCATTAAAATATAAATATGAGATAATAATGTAATATTATTTTATTTTAATTAGTACATATACTGCAGCTTAACTTTCAAAAATATTTTTATTTTTAATATATAAATTTAATTTAAAAAAGTTAATTAATGAATTCTTGAATAATGTATGTCATAAACTCATAAATGATAAATTTCTATAAGTAATATTATTTATTTTATCTATTTTTGTAAAATAATTAAAAACTGGTCGAGTTAGGCCCATATTATTAAAGGCTCTTTATTGTAAATTTTTATTTTTAGTTATTGCTAAAACGTTTGATTCATTATCTCATTAATTAATTTTGTCGAAATTTATAACACATATTGGTTTATATAATAAAATCATACATTTTTAGTATATCCTAAATTAGTGAATTGATCCGTGTTTAGATAGGTGTGGTATACCACAAAAACAATGTAAGGTTTCTATATTATTTTCAATTTATGTAAATAGTTAATTACATTTATACGATATATATGATAGTATATATTAGTATTTGTAGATAATATTGTAGTATTGTGTTTTTATAATTGAATTAAGGTGAAAACGAAGTATAATTTAGGGTTATTAGCAGTCAATAAACAATATATTAAAAATAATGTAATGTTAAATAAAAAACAAATCAATATTAATTATTCCATTATTTGCATTATCGAACTTAAGTACACAAGATCAACTTACACTGATAAGATTAAACAAAAATAAATTATTAATAAAATATATAATGAAAGTTGCATTTATTTTATATAGAATTACTTCAATAAAATACTTAAAAGTATATTTAATTAACATTCAAAATGAGCTCCTTACATTGAAATAGTAATAATATGCATAAAAAAATGCTTGTACATTTTTTTAAAGATTTGCATAATATTCTAAATATTAACTGAATTTTTAGTTTGAAAATGATTTATTTTTTATAAGTTCAATCTATGGTTATATATGACATAATTTTACGAGTCTCGTAAAAATTAATTATAATACCTATAACTTTTACATCTTAACAGCACAATTGTACAAATATCAACTTTCAACAGCCCTTTAGCTAAAAAACACAATGTTAAAACCAGTAAACTTGACATTTTATTTTATAGAACTTTAATTATTATTATTAGATATTTTTTTTTCTAGTTGAAAATATTTTTTTTCAAAAATGACTGAAACACAATCTAGTATCCAAGAGTTTTTTAAAAATAAATCTGTCTTTGTCACCGGAGGTACAGGCTTTCTTGGTAAACTAATCATCAACAAATTGATTAGATCATGTCCTCAGATTAAACATATATATTTACTAGTAAGGGACAAAAAGGGAAAAAATGCGCAAGAAAGATTAGAAGATATGTTCAATACGCCGGTACGTAATAAGAATAAATTTTTATTTCATAAATAATCGTATATAATACATGATATCAATAACAAAACTAGATATTCAAAGATATCGACGCATCAAGATTAAAAAAAATTAGTGCACTTAGAGGTGACTGTAGCCAAGCAGATTTAGGACTATCTATTGAAGACCTGAATACGTTAATTAAAGAGGTAAATGTCATATTTCATAGTGCAGCCACGGTTCGATTTGATGAACGCCTTGATATAGCAATCGGAATAAACGTAATCGGCGCTAGAGAAGTAGTTAAACTTGCTCAAAAACTTGAAGATCTTGTGGTAATTATTTATTATTTTTAAAATATACCTACTATCGCTTTTTCTTCGAAAATATATTTACAAATAACAAAATAACGAATACAACACATTTTTTTTTTTTTTTTTTTAGTCGTATTTGCATGTCTCGACGGCTTTCTCCAACTGCCATAATAAACGTATTGAAGAAAAGTTTTATAACCTACCATATAACTATGAAAAACTTATACATCTTTATAAAACAAAAAGTTCAAATATACTTGAAAAAATGAAACCTTTGTAAGTATAACAATTTTACCATTACTAAATAATAATAGTATTACTTTATAGTTTATAATAATGATTATTCAGTTATTTTAGCTTATTGTACTATTTTAATATTTTTTTTTTTTTAAATTTATTTTGTATCCTTTTGCTGTTTTGTACATGACAGATAAGTAATATTAAATATGTAATAGGTAAATTTTTCTAATTTAATTTCGTTGAATTTCCGCATTATTATAATATAATAACATAATTGTGAGTCAAAAGTATAACAATATCATTATTATAGGTACTAAAAATTTTTTTTAAACATAATTTAAACCTGCAAAAACCCAAAAACTCTATTAAAATATTATTTGTGTTATAAATTTAGTCTATTGGGACCTATGCCAAACACTTACGTTATGACAAAAGCAGCTGCCGAACAATTGATCAAGCGCGAAGCAAAAGGTCTTCCTATCACGATAGTCCGTCCAGCAATCGGTAGGTATTTATAAAAATGACATGGAAATGCAACATTTTTTTTTAATATACGAATACATAATAAGTAATTATTATTATCTATTTTAATACGAACACATTTTTTTCCTCTATCACAATCGCAGTGACGGCGACTGCCAACGAACCTCTGCCGGGTTGGATTGACAATTTGTATGGGCCTACAGGTATCGTGACTGGCGTGATGACAGGAATAATAAAATCTATACCATGTGACATAAATGCCGTCACGGATTTAGTTCCGGCCGATATGACTGTGAATGCCCTAATAGCCGCGTCCTGGGACACAAGCATCAGGTACATCACATGAGAACAGTCCTTCGCGACGAATATAACATTATTATATTCGTACATAATAATAAGCCTTTCGTCTCGCGAACAGCTTAAAATATATCATTATATCGTATAATATACGTACAATATTTTTTTCCGAATAAACGAAATTATGTTGTTCTTTTATAAATAATACATTCATATTTCTCTAGACATCGGCATACCAAGATGAGCGAATTGGTCGAAAAACATACGGAGGACCCCCGCATCTACAATTTCGTGTCGTCACCCGAAAACCCATTGACTTGGAGGATATTTTCAACGACCCTGATGTACTACATCTTACACCGGCCCACGGCCAAAGCTATGTGGTATCCGACGTTAATAATGAACGCGTCGATGTTTTTACACAAGATCACGGTGCTAATATTGCATTATCTACCCGCGTTCCTATTGGATTTAGTATTTATCTGTACGGGAAATAAACTCAGGTTTGTCGATTTAGTTTCTTCTACTCAAATGTGGTATGCGTATCATATCATAATATGCACAAGTAATAATCGAAAGTTATTAGGCATTAACGAAATTATTATATTACCGTATACGATTTCAGATTGGTCGATCAATACAAAAAAATAGGAAGATTCACTGATATACTGGAATACTTTTCTACAAGAGAATGGGTTTTTTGTAATAAAAACGTACAAGTTTTATGGAACAGCTTAAACAAAGACGATAAAACGTTGTTTCCATTCGATATCAAACAAATGCATTGGGAAGAGTACTTGGATACGTACCACAAAGGGATAATGACATTTTTGCTCAAAGAAGGACTGGACAAGTTACCGGAGGCAAAGAAACGTCTTCACAAGTATGTCTTAATAATATATATTTAGTATGACTACAATAAAACTGTACCATCTAATACCTATCTATACTCGTGTTTTTTTCATGATCTATCAAACATGATTAAACTATTGTATTCCATTGAATACATTGTAACTTTTAACTTTTTCGTGCAACGCAATAGAAATTAAAATTTTCAGTAGGGTAAAATTATATTCTTGACCTATATACCGATAACTTATTCCCAATGACTGTTTTAAATAAATATAATCTATAATATGATAGTTTTTTTGTAAATAATAATTTCAATTCCAATTAAAATCATTGCTTTATGTTTGTTCTTTAGTTTATATATCTGTCATATGATCTTCAAAGGTGCTGTTTACATAGGAATCGTGATGTTAATATGGGTGATATTAAAAAGAATGCTTTTAGCTTAATGGTGACTTACATGGGTGTATTATTACATGACTACAAGTAAGCTTGGATTCAATTTTAATCACATTAAACATATAGCTACCATGAAGTACAAGATTCCGTAAATATGTTTTACAATTTGTTATCCTTTTTGACCAATCAAACAAATCATTACCTATTTTATTTTGTGTACCATAATTTATTGTCATATTTTTATTTAGAATATATTTATTTATTTATTTTTTTTTACTGTTAATTTCAAGTCTAAATCGAATTATATTAATAATTTAAGGAGTTCCTGATAATTAAACAATTAAGTTTTTTTTTACATTAGATCGTAAATGTACAATATTATATGTTAAGTAGAAATATAAAAATTGTATTGCATTTAATTTACATATACTTAATATAAATTATGTACGTATATATAACTAAAAATGTATCATCATTTAAGCATATATTTCATAGTGAATAATAATTTATTGATTCGTTTATCTTTAAAATTATATTTAGAATTAAAATTTGCTTAAAAAAATATTTATTTAATATTAGAAATTATGAAATAAATTATAAAATTTATATGTAATGTGTATATATAATAATATTTTATTAATAATTAAATTTGAAAATCATAAACAATTTAGCTATAGTGAATAAAATTCAGAATAATTAAATAAATGCTAATTACCATTATTGTAATACATATGAGAGACTAATTTAAAACATATAAATGTTCATAACAACTATCTGATACTAGATCAATTAACTAAAACAGTTATAATTATTACTTATAAGTTAAAGCTAAAAAAAAAATAATCAAAATACATCAACAAATTAACATAAAAACTTACGAGTGCGTGCATCTTATTCGATAATATCAGTTAATTCATAATACTATTATACAAAACTGTAATAAATTTTTTTAAACTACAAAAAGTATGTATATATTATTTTTATATTTTAAATTATTTCTTGAAACCTCTTACCTAAGTTTTCGGCACCATGAAAGAAAATAACTAAAAATCTACATTTTTATATTTATTTATTTGGCATTTTGTGGGTAACATGCTAGGCAGTATTATATATTAAATAATTTGTATATAAAACAATAATTAGAATACGTATAACTGCAATATTACAAACTACAAAGTATCAACATTTTTTTGATACAAATATCCGTCCAGAGGCATAGAAGTTATCAGATAATTCAATTTTCCCTAATTACAGTTATTTCCTAGAAATAAATTTGTTTATATAATATTATATTTTTTTTAACTCAAACCAAATCTCAAATACGTCTAAGATTTAAAATCAATGAGTAAATTAAACATATCTTGTACAAAAATAATAAAATTAATTAGGCTTGTAATATTTTTTTTTAGGCCACAATACATTTTCCAATAATTATTTGACTTATATCCAAATTATTCATATTATAATAATAATATTATTCACTATTTGCATGAGGTTTTCATTAATTTTTTATTTAGAATGCTAATTATAAAGCTGAAAATTATATATTTTTCTTATATAACTACGAAAAAGCTTTTAAACGTAATAAAAGATTTCTCAGAATTAATTCATCACACTATAAAATCAAAAAATTATACATAAATAATTTTTTAAAGATATCTGTTGAGGTTAGATAAAATTAGATGTTTAAATAAAGAATAATGATTTTAGTTAAATTATTGTAATTTAAAAATATGATTCGTAGCTCAATTGTATTTTATACGCATAATGATATTTTTAAATGCACAATAATTTCATCAAAAATGAATTTAACTTACTGTTTTGCTTATAATAAAATAAATTATGATTAATAACACACATTTATTGTAAAATATCCTTAAAATAATATGCTGACAAACTATCAGCTTTTAAAATCGTTTTTTATTGTATACAATGATTTATCTAGTTTAATACATCTATGACAGTGACCTATTTAATATAAAGAATCACACTGAAAACATACTATACAGCAGAGCGAGTTTTCTGATTTTTACTTTTTAATTTATTTATTTTAATTATGTATTTTTATTTATTACATACTATAAACTGATGTATATGTGTTAACGGATGTAGTAAACTATTTACCCTCATTTATTTTTTCGTAATATTTTTTATCCTTTTTATTATTATTGTAATATTCAAAAATAATTAAACTCTTTTAAAATCTACTGGCTATCAAAATCATAGACATCTTCTAATAATACAATTAACAACACATATGCAGATAAATATTTATTTAGTGATTATACGATTTTATTGTAGCAATATACTCAACTATACACATTTTATGTGTGCATTATTTTTGCTACAAGTTGATACACAGGTAACTTTTCGCTATGAAAACAAGCACCACTTATACATAGATAGTGAGGTTAATAAATCACAAAAGGGGTGTGTGAAACAGTTTCACCGGACATCAAATTTTAGTAGTATTTCTTCTTGGAAAACTTTTGCCAACGAGATGAGATAAAACAAATGTTTTTCTCTTTTTAAAACCAAAAAGGAAAGTTAGGTTTTCAACAAAATATATTATCTCATGGTAGAGGTTTAAATCTACCCCAATATATGTACATGGCTACGAATATAAGCCAAAAGGATTACAAATTACCATTACAAAAATGTATAGTTAAATTAAAAACTTCAAGCAATGAACTATGAGTGTTATAATATGAATTCACGTGACACGTTTAAATTTTAACCACTTCTTAAACCAAGTATGAAACATAGTTATACTACGCTGAATTAAAAATAAACATATACATTAATTGAATACATGCATAAATTTTCCGCTAACTTTTTATTTTAATTATATTATGCTAGTGACACATTGATCCTCTTAAAAACACTTGCAAATCACAGTTTGAATTAAATCCTGATCAAATATAGTGACAAACTATAATATAGTCTCTATAAATAAATTTTTAGCAAAGAACGCTCGTTTACATATTACCCATCCATCTTTTTCACACGTAAATGAAAAATATTATAGATACAAGATTTAAGAAACAATTAAAAACAACAATAATTGTTTTTACAATTATTGTAAAACTTATGGGTCATTAATACTGTTACATTTTCCAAGTCATTAGTCATTACATAAATACGTGATTGTTTTAATTGTCTTATATTACGAGTAGATTAAATATTATTTTATATCTGTGCAGTATGAATTAATGTCACAGATGCGATCCTTATGGAAATATATTTAATTTATTTTTATGAAATATATTGATTATATTTAATATATTTAATTGACCACACGCGTACAAACGAAAAATATTTCCATTCCGCTGAGACTATAAAAAGTATAAAATAGTAAGATCTTAAGTGCGTAATACAGGTGATAAATGTATAAGATACAATTTTGTACATTTATAATTCAAATCATCGTGTATAATACGCAAACATTAAAAGTTATTTTATATATGAAAAATATTTTTATTTTTTTTTAACATTTATTTGGAAAAATATACAATCTGTAAGGTTAGTTTACAATAAGCATATATGCGGTGTTTATGTGGTTTTTATTTGAATTTACGTGAGTTTAAAGAACTACCCAACACTCAACAGTAGTACTTATGGCATGAGGAATATATGAAAAATATAGTTTGCAAAAACTCAATACTAATATTATTTTACATATAATTTACGTAACATAATTATTAAAAATAGATAATATAGTAGATTGATAAAAATTTGAGAAATAAGAGTTTTTAAAAAAAAATTTTACTTTCATTATTTTTATTTCAATAAATATATACTCATGTAATAAACAATAATACTTTTCATTTACGTATGATATTCTCATAATACAATAAATTAAAAGCTGCAAAAGTAACATAAAATATATCGTCTAAAACAGAAGCTTGTGAAAAATATGTATTCTTATTTCTTGCAAACACATTCAACCATGATAGTTATGTGGGTAGGATACAAATTATAGATTGTTCTGCATATTTCTAAGCGCTTAAAAACATTAAACTGATAAAACTAATAAATACAGTAAAAAATAACTAATTTAGATTTAGTTGAATTGCATCTTCCAATATTTTGCACATATTATGACATGGTTAAATAATATAATATATATGAATAACTTACATGTATTAATTTTTTATTTTTTATAATTGTTCTTAAAATTATATAATTTTTACTTCGAGTATTCAGGCCATAAGCATTATATTTATTTATATATATAATATATATATATATATATAAGTACATTACATTTGAAAAAAAGAAAAATACAATATCAAATTAAATAATTAGATTTTTATGTACATTGCAATAAATTTTAGCGAAATTAGATTTAATATTTTGATTAATTTAAAAAATTTAATTGTGTTTATTTTGTTGTTTGAGCGTACACCTAGGTTTGTTCTGATTAAATGGTTTATGTTGAGTTCCTCTCTTATTATATATTATATATTTTTTGTATTCTTCGAGTATGTGTTTAATAGTGAATAAGGTGCTATATAATTGACACATTGATGAGTCATTTTTTGAAATAAAATATCCTTTAGTAAGACTCGTGTGGTCAATTTTGACCTAATTTAATTTCTTTTTATTTATGGTACTTATATTTAGGTTCCTTCTCCATATTTTTACCAGGACTTATTTTAACGGGCAATAAAACCCAAATTGGGTAGTAGAAAAAATCGAAAGGGCAGTTGACTTTATGACTATGGGTACCTTACAATAATATAATTTTTCTTAAAAGATACTATATACAACTAATTTCAATATTATATCTCTAAATCATTAAAACTTCAAGGCTTAAAAAGATATATTCTAGACGGGGAAGATAAAAATCATTCAAAAAAAGTTATTTTTTGTTAAACATCTCATTATTTATAAATGTGTACTTTCAAAACTGAAATATCTATTTGTAATTAAAAGATTGTTCTATGAAAAAAATTTGAGAAGACATTGCAATATAAGCTTATGTTAAATATTTGAAGCTTAGCTATTAAAATTAAAAATTTTTATATATTTTTAACTACAAAAATAATTATAAATTTTATTTTTATTTAAATTTAAATCATTAATAAAAAAAATCGAACCAAAGTATTTTTAATATTTTTTAATTTATAGAAGAAATCTTATGTATAATCTAACATAAATTAATATGTTTACGCTTTTTTACAGAGCATTAGAATGTTTTATTATAAAAAAAAACTGAAATTCAAATATCTACAATCATTCATTTTCAAA